CTGCAGCGGCGCCGTGGCCGGTGCCGTGGTGCTGGGCGGCGTCACCAGGTGAGCGCCGCACCCCCCGCCCCGCTGGCACCGGTTCGCGGCCGGGGCCGTGGAAGGAAGGGCTCAGCCTTGGGGCCGCGTGGAGGTGGCCGGCGCCGCCGCCGGTGACCGGTTCGGGCCGTCCCTGCGGCCTGCAGCTGCCTCCCACGCCTGGGAGCCGCCCCGAGTGCGCCTGTGAGAGCTCCTCTCGTGTCTTTCGCCCCTGGCTGCGAGGGGACACCGTGGGGCAGGGCTGGGAGTACCAGAGAGACTTTCCGTGGCGCGCTGGTGCCAGCCGGGGATAACTGTCCCTTACACGGTTTTGGTAATTTTGGGTCTGTTTGATCACTCACAGACTCCCTGATCTCCATCCTGTTTCTAACTGTGAGTTTAAGGGTTGTCTGGTGCAGCCAACAGCTCTTGCTTTGGTTCGGTAGATTTGCGTGCTGTCAGCGAGTGAATTGTGCCTGCTTGTGTCTGTCTGCTCCCAGGCTGACGGAATCGGGCCTTTCTATGGTTGACTGGCACCTGGTGAAAGAGATGAAACCCCCAAGAACGCAGGAGGAGTGGGAAGCTGAGTTCCAGAAGTACCAGCAGTTCCCAGAGTTCAAAATGTGAGTGTGCAAAAGAGGAAGAAGGGTGGGTGGGAGCACCCCTCCTGCGACTGAGCCACTCGAGGAACTCTTGTAAGAAGGGCAATGTTTTCTAACATGGCTAGGAGGGCACACAAAGCCCGTCTGATGATGGCTCCTTCGCTTTCATTTTCGTTCTCTGAGGAAGGTGATCCCTTGCCCTGCAAAGTATGGCATAGGACTGCTGTATCACATGAAAACATCATTTGTTTTACTGTCTTTAACAGCCTGAATCATGACATGACGCTGACAGAGTTCAAGTTCATCTGGTACATGGAGTATTCGCACCGTATGTGGGGCCGCGTTGTGGGTTTGGCCTATATTCTGCCCGCCGCATACTTCTGGCAAAAGGGCTGGCTCAGCCGCCCCATGAAGGGCTGTGTTCTTGCGCTCTGCGGACTGGTCTGCTTCCAGGTGAGCGAACTCTTTAGCTGCAGGGATTAGCGGCAGCACCTCCTGCAAATATCTTCTGATTGAGCGTAGTTGAGGCAGTGGGATTCATGAAAGCTTGGGGGGTGGCAGTGCTGGTAGCTGGTTGAAGGTGAAGGAAACAAGTTGCTTTGCCCCTAGTGTTTGTCTGCTCTTAGCAGTTGCTGCTGCCCTGTCTGGCTTTAACCCCTCTCCTGTTTTGTCAGGGGCTGCTGGGATGGTACATGGTGAAGAGCGGGCTGGAAGAGAAGCCAGACTCTTATGACATTCCTCGGGTCAGTCAGTACCGTCTTGCAGCACATCTTGGCTCCGCGCTGGTTCTGTACTCTGCTAGCCTGTGGACGGGGCTGTCCTTGCTGCTTCCGCGACACAAGGTACAGAGTGGTGTGTCAGGAGTCAAAAGCGCAGGGCAGTGTCAATTCAGAGGATTGGGGATGTGATGTGAAGGGTGAGGAAAGGGTGTGAAGGATGATGGTGCTTCCGTTTTAGTCTCTGTTCCTGACTCCGATCTAATGCCGCGTTGCAGAATACCCTGTCTGTAAACTTCTTGGTTATGGGACGCTTCCTTTGACTCGTGCTGTTCCGCTCAAAAGTGATTAGTCTCAGAGTTCGTGCAAGCTCAGGCAGGGCTAAATGATTTGTGCCAGTAACTGTCCAGTGGCCGCTCCAGTTTCTGCACAGGGTTGGACTCAGTTGTGGTTTTGAGGAACCACTGAAGTGTGACACTGCTGTGTGGTGGTCTCTAGATTCCTCCTGTAAAATACAGGCCAATCCCTTGGCCTATATATGCAGCGAAGGCTTTTCTTACCTGCTGCAAACAGCACTGGAAATGCTTTGCCTTGATTATTTTCTTTTTTTTTTTTTTTTTTTTTTTAATTTTAAAGTTACCTGAAACCCATCAGCTCCTTCGCTTGAGACAATATGCTCGTGGCACTACAGCTCTCATTTTTCTTACCGCTCTTTCAGGTAAGAATGTTAATTTCTGCTGTCCCATCTCCTCTCTGCCCTGTTTTTATTTCTGGTCTGGCAGTGTCTGTGAGCAACACCATCATGTTCTCTGGGAAAAACTTTATTGCTGTCAGGGAGCTTACAGTCGAGAACCTCCCTTGTGGGTCTTTCCTGAGCAGGTGGAGGTGTACCTTCCAGCCTGCCTGTTGCTGTGTGATCTCTGTATATGTTTCTAAAAGAAATTCAGGATCAAGCTGAGCTCTTCAAGTCGGAGCTTTGCAACCTGGAGCGCCACCTTTGCCTACTCTGGTAGTCTCATTTTCTGCTCTGGAATTGCAGGTGCCTTTGTGGCAGGGCTGGATGCTGGCCTTGTGTACAATTCCTTCCCCAAAATGGGTGATCGCTGGATCCCAGATGATCTCCTTGCCTTCTCCCCCATGCTGAGAAATATCTTTGAGAATCCTACAACTGTACAGTTTGATCACAGGATCTTGGTAAGTGCTGTCTTCCTGCTATGTCTGTGCTGCTTCTCAGTTGCCTCCTGCAGCCAAGCTGTCCTCTTTGGGCTGTGGTTCTGTCAGCTTGAGTGATATCCAGGGTGTCCGGAGGTCCTAAGAGCGTGTTACCGATTTGCTTCTGCAGAAAGAGGAAGTTAGCACTCTCGTCTATTTTCAGTGTGGTCTCCTTCCTTAAGGACATCTTCCTCCTGCACAAGTTACAGACTTTGTTTCTTTGTGTCTCCTTTTCCATAACATAAGCTGCAGACCAGGGTAGCCTTCGCTATTGAAATGTCTGGGAAAGCTGTGTGAAATAAATATCGGAATTTCCAAGTTTTAATGCTTCCTCCAGCATTTCTGAACTTGCTTTACACCAGTAGCTCCCTGTGAAAATATCGCAGCTAGTTAGAGCAATCCAGATATTAAATGCCACTGCCAGCACTGCTGTGGACTAAGCCATCCCTAAGACTAAAAAGAAAGATTAAGTGACTTAGAAGAGGAATCACCTGGGGTGACCTGCACAGCGAGATTATGCTGGTGAACTACAGCGGAGTGGTGAAAATGAGATCGATTTTCCAGATGACAGCTTCCACCTTTAGCTGTCAAGGTGACAGATGGGATGAGGACACAGTCCCTATGACTTGAGGAAACGCTGTTGGAAAATAAAGCATTAATTTGGGGAGAAATGGAACTCTATAACTTTAGTTAAATTTCAGGGTTGTTAACCTGGCAGGCATGGGAGCTCCAGGATTTGGTTATGGCTACTAACACGTTTCCACAGTTAAATATTGTTCATGAAATTTCTTTTACTGCATGGAACGCCCAGCCAAATGCCACTCTACCCGTTTCCTCTGAACTTTTCTTGAAGGGTGCTTGTTTCTCATCCCTTCTGTAGGGAATTGCCTCAGTCACAGCTGTCACAGCACTGTACCTCTTCTCGCGGAAGATCCCACTTCCTCGCAGGACCAGGATGGCAGTGACTTCCTTATTGGCTGTGGCTTGCATGCAGGTACTGTCATCTTCTCCCCCCTCCCTTCTTTGTTTTTTTTCCTCCCTCTAGTCCTTTGTAGCATGTTCACAAGACAGAGCTGTCTCCAGCTTGGATCTGTGCTGGCCCCGAGAGCCTGGAGCTGAAGAGGTGGACCTGCGTAGGCCCAGGGCCTCGCCATACTGCATGCACTGTCTGAATTTGAGGGTGGATGTCTGGCTGTGGCCGTGGGCCTTTCTACATCATGCTCTGTGCTGGGGATGTGTAGCAACGCTGCACCCACAGCTGCTCTTACTCCTTCCTTTTCCCTCCTCGGCAGGTGGGCCTGGGCATCAGCACCCTCCTGCTGTACGTCCCCACGCCGCTGGCCGCCACCCACCAGTCGGGCTCCCTGGCTCTGCTCAGCATGGCGCTCTGGCTCATGAGCGAGCTCCGACGGGTCCCCAAGTAACCTGCCGGAGGCAGAGCCCTCCCGGGGGAGCTGCGGCGCTGGGCCCGGAGGCTGCAGAGAACCGCCAACCGCGGCATACGGGGGGAATGTGCGCCCAGCCAGGCTGTGCGCGGGGAGGAGGCGGCGGGTGTCGGTGTGAACTTTGTAACATAAAGGAGTTTTTACGGAGCGGCTGGTGTCTGGCTGGGTGCCTCCTTTCCGGAGCGAGGTGAGGAGGGATGCGGGGAGGGGGGGCGCC